AAGGCCAAGTGACAAACAGATGCTCCAAGTCGTGTCTTAAATTTGGTAGCGCTACGTGCTATAGAACTCACGCTATCAACGAAAAACTCTGGCATTCGGTTGCCGCTAAACTAGTCCAATTTTCCCCTGACCTTGTACGGGGTTTGTGTCACCTGGTGACCTGACCTGAAAAGACTATAGATCTGAAATTTTCAGGACAAGTGCCAAAAGGCTGCCCCAGAGGGTATGCCAATTTTGGGCGCCGCCGTTTTTACGTTATTTGTGAAAAACCTTAGGGGGGTGCATCAACCCCCCTCACCGGGCGAGGGCTAACTAACATAATACATTGTAGTAAAGGCTACCCGAACCGGTAATGATTCTTGCTTATTTGTTTAGCTCAGCCGTATTTAGAGATTTAGCTGGCTTTGTCCATGAATAACAATATCGGCAGGGGTGTAGCCAAGGGGGAGGGGCCACGGGGGCAATGGCCCCCTCCCTTGAGCGCAAAACGCGCCATGGGGGAGCCCCTCAGGCCCCGGGATGTTTTTTTTTTTCAAACACTGGATTAAACGTCTTTTACTCGGAAGAAAATTGATATCGAAGTTTCATTTCTGTGGTCCTCTGATGACCTAATGGGCCCCTGCACTCATCCGATGACCCCCGGTTTCTTGGGGCCCCTGGTCGCCTAGAGGGCCCCGGTCGCTTGGGGGCTAGTCGCATGGGTACCCCTGGTCGCACTGGGGCCTGGTCGCCTGGCCCCTGGTCGCCTGGAAGAACGCTTGTCACCTGCAGTGGCATAGCCAAGGAGGGGGCCAAAGGGACCATGCCCCCCCTGGAAGCCAGGGGTCCTTATTCTATAGGGGCCCCTGGCTGACACAGTGGGCCCTTGGCGACGCAAAGGCCCCTGCGGCAGATCCTTTGACACAGCTGAGTAGTTATACTTTGGCCAAGAGAGCCCCAATTTTAGAGCCTTGGGGGCCCTATTGAAACGAGGGGGTCAGTTGGATGGGATGGGTCCAACTTGGGTCCAACGGTGTGTAAACAGAATCAATGCGTTCCGACTGTTGGTCTGACCCTATATCGGTTTGAGGGAGCTCGGATCGGATCCACTGTCGATCTGAGGGGCCCCTATCGGTTTGAGGAAGCCCTCAAATGCCCTGAACGGGTCCTTAGTTTGTCTGAGAGAGCCCTCCGTCGGCATGACTGGGCCTCTGCAAGTGCAAGGAGGGCTTTTGTCGGTCTTAGTGGCCCTTAGGCGGCTTATATGACCCTCAGACGGCTTACGAGGCTCTCATGCGCTGTAGGGGCCTGTGACGGTCTGAAGAACCCTCATCCGACCTACGGCCCTCAGACCGCCCTCAAAACCGACTGGGGACTCTATGAAGCTATTCGTGGGCCTATCTAACAGGGCCCATGGACTGCTTACCCAAGATTACTTTGCTTACCCCCTCAGTTCTAATATTTTTTGTTAATAAATATTTTTTTCAATTTATTTGGGCCCCCTCCAAAAAATATTGGATACAACCAGATGGCTTTTTGGATTTTGAGGGGGTTATTTTGGGCCCCTGTGCGTTTGGCCCCCTCCTTGAGGAAATTCTGACTACGCCCCTGAATATCGGGCAACCAGAAAACTTTTTTGACCTTCAAACAGCATCCAGTTTGCTCAAGACCAGAAAGGTAGTACCGGACGTCCGGCCGGACCAGAATTTTTGCATTTACTTCTGGGTGGGCAAATCGACGCCACTGGGTGGGCAATTGTGGTGACTGGGTGGGCATTTGCCCACCCAGTGGGTATGTTAGAGGAGGCCCTGCATTTTGTGCCCTTGACCTGACGTTGACCTGACCTCTGACTTACTTTAGCAAAAAAAATCGGCTCTTAAGATCCGCCTTGTTGAGAACTTTCGATTGCCGTTTTCCACGTCTTTCTACGACCATCGGTTCGGAAGTTCTACGACCATCGGTTCGGGAGTTGGACAGGGGGGGGGGGGCAGAATCTGCCCCCGCCCCGCAACAGGGCGCGTATGGCTGAATAGCCCAGCGGGCGCGGGATGAAACTTGGGTATCATCGGCTTCCTCTCATCACGGGCAACACGCTCGTTTTTTCCGCGAAGCTCTAGCTCGATCAGAGACCGAACGGCAACGGGAGTCCCGTTAGGCGGCACGGGCGGACATCGATAGCAGCGCCTCTATCGGTCACTAGGGAAAGCTAGGCTGTAGGCGACGAAATACCGGCTGAGTTGTCACAGGTTAAATAGGTTTATAGACATCCGTCTTGTGAAAAAGTTGAACTTTTGCCTTCAATATTTCTATAGGCAATTTTAGAAGTGCCTTCACATAGATTACAAAACCGTTTAAGTTATTTTATTCACTTCAAGCCTTCCCTATTGTTCTTGATGATGCGGGAACTATTTCTAATTAGTGTTTCTAGCTTAGTAAAAGAACATATTGTTCAAACGATGAAAAAAGCATTAATGGAAGATTTTAAATGCAATTTTCTGTAACAAATAATGGTAAATTCTCTACACATCAAGGAAAAGGTGCATGCTAACTGATAATTTAAAGTTCTTGGGGCCAGTTGGTTTCTTCTTTTCTTACGTCGCCCCAATGGCCGCGAATACACTTGTGATAACGCCTATCGCCAACGGACCCCCATCCGTTCGCGGCTGACAAAACACCATTATGGGCGAGGGTTAAAACAATAAAATGAGTTCATGCTTCATTATATGAAGATAGTTATTTGCTCAAGAAAAGATTTAGTGCAGATCTGGTCAAGTTTGGTGCATTCGCCAGATAATCCATCGTGAAAACGGTTATTACCTGCCTACATGAGTAACCTGAGCTGAAACTTTTTACTCAACCAAGGACTGAACTAAAAACCTATTTTGACTAAATTACACCAAGTATGACATGTGTGCTACTGCCAGATAACCGTCGTGAAAACGGCTAGGAAGTGCCTATTATGCAGAAGGATATTGCGTCTTATGTCCTGATCGGGAGCTGGTGAAGAGCCGGCGGACACGACCTAGGCGTAGGTAATGCATTCAGTGGACAGTCAGGAGTTCGGGGCCGGTCGGGCGCCCTAGTCGCTGTTCGAGTCCGTCCATTGCAGCCTTCAGCCGCCCACTCAGCCTGATCTGATTCGGTGGCGATGCATGGGAGCCATACATGACCCACTCTTAGCGATATATTATAGGGTTATGCCCGCTAATAGTTAGTTTATGTTTGTCAGTGATCTGCCCGGGTGCGGGGTAACGCGCGCCACTATATTCCTCCAGCTGCGCGCAGTTTGCTGAGCAAAATCCGTGAGCGGAGGAGACAGGGCCGCGCGTGAGTGACGTCACACTATTGTGACGTCATCGCCGTGCCCCTCGTGCCGTCCAAGGTCGGAGGTTGTGCCGAGTGGGGGAGGGAGGGCATGGGACACGATCTACTGAAGTTGAAAGGCAGGAGCTCTCTGTGTTCACCGGCAAATCTGATAGTCTGTCATATCCTATCCAACCGCTACCAAATGCTTGACCTCACAGCGGCGCTCCAATTTCCCTAGTAAACCAGTTTATAGTTAGTAAATGAATTTTGTGTCTCACCTGCTAATGACACGAATGCAGTAGGTATGATAATGCGATATACAATATACAGGTGCTTATAAGTGATAAACCTTACAATATTTCTTAGTTTCGGATCAATCACCGCACCTTGTGGGGCGAGCGCGCTCGTTTTCTGTAAAGCTCTAGCTCCACTGAGGTTGAAGCATCAAGGGGCGTCACACGAGCTCCTGAGGCCAAGCACAAATAGATGGTCAACTGTTCGAGAAAAAAGAGCTTTTAATGCAAAGGGGCCTAGTAGTTAAGTACAAGCAAGCTACATATAGTATACTAGGCATCCGATTTCATTTCACCACAATGTATGCTGTTTCACCTTTTAGGCATACTGCTATGCTTGGTTTCAGCGACTATTTGAGCACGGTAACAGGGTTGCAAATCCTTCCTTAGTCGTCTGAATTACCACCGTGGTTGATATCATTTGACGCCCTAATAAAAACGACGAAATTAACAAAACGACCCCTACGGATATTTTTATCTCAGCTAGCCATACTTGCACTTGCTTTGAGCTGAGTTGACCAGCAGTGGATGCGCCGCTGTGGCCGAGTGTAATGAGTTGAAACGGGGCTGTTCCGTGAGGACAGGGCACCCAACCCAACCCAACTACTCCAGTCACTAGTAGCCATTTTCACGACGGGCTATCCGGCGAGTGCACCTAATTTGACCAAATCTGCACCTAATCTCTTTTACAGCAAATATCTTTATTCTATGAATTTATTTCAGGTACTCGTATTAATCGATGATACTCTCTGATAAATGTTGAGTATCCATGACAGGTTGGATGATGATGTAAATAATAAACCAAATTATTACAAATGCATTCAAATATATTCAAAAAGACACACATGTGTGTCTTTTTGTCTTTTTGAATATATTTGTCTGTGTGTCTTTTTGAATATATTTGAATGCATTTGTAATAATTTGGTTTATTATTTACATCATCATCCACTACTCTCTGATAATATGATTAAGCAGGCATATGAGCAATTAGTGCAACCCTAGCTGACAACTAAGTTAAGAGACACACCGAACCTAATTTGACCAGATCTGCACCTAATCTGCACCAGATGTGCACCAAATGTGTACCAGATGGCCGTCGTGAAAACGGCTAGTATAGTCTATCCGGGAGCGGTATATAGGCCCTTTTCCAAGCCCGGTAATGCTCCGTCGTCACCTGGACTCGTCGGTCCTGGGCTGCTGCCTAAGTGACAATACACGAAAGTCGAATCCTACACATGCATGATGCACTTCACATCTACACAGGTGTCACCGCGGCTGGCCGGCCGGCCGTTCTGATGCTCGGTACTATGAAAGTTCAGCTGTTACCTAGTTACCGCATATTCGGAACACCCCCATCCAGCTCACTCATTCTCAGCACTACCGTTACCCTACCCAGGTCAGCATACCCAGCAATAAGTACCTGCACAAAGTTAGTAAGTTCAGTTTTAGATTTCTGCGAGCTTTCTGATTTTCTGTAACATATGGCCTCAATCAAAATGTTCGACATCAGTAACGGTCAGAAAATACGACGGTCCAATTAGCTCAGTGAAGTGCAGTGACGTATTTTCCGGGTTTTCGCCCCTGGTTTGGTATACGCGGGGCGGCGGTGCAGGGCCCGGACCGGCTGCAGGGCCGCGCCGCGCCGCCGAATCAGGGTCACTCTCCCGCCGTGCCAGCAGAAAGCTACATAAGAGCGGCGCCCGGCGGCGGGCCGCACTGAGCGGCTCCGACCCCGTCCGCTGTACCGCCGCGCCGGCACGGAGCGAGTCCCAGACCGACCTGCACCGCACCGCCCGACCAGTAACGGTGAGTCCGCCACACCAGTTCGGCCGACTCCGACATCTGGGTATAACTAGGTCCTCGCCTTGGCCCTTCCCCCACCCCAATCTTATATGTGCCGTACAAAGGATTTGACAGCACTTGCTGAAGTGAAGTTCCAGAAAACGGGTATCAGATGCAAAATGGTTGTGACGAGTTTCAGGCTATCCGGTGTTTTGGTGGCTCCCGGAATCGTTTGTTTTACTCTGATACGCATTTGCTGACACCGATGCCTATTCATATTTTGAAACATGTAGTCAAAACGTTGTTAATCAATAGAGTACGGCACTTTATAAGATTGGGTCCTGGAGGAATCGCGGGGACAGCGAGGCCGGGCAGACGATAAGCCAGCTGCATTTGAGCGGCGTTATTGCTAATTTTCCGTATAAGCCATTTATTTGATGAGCACAAGCAGTTTACTTGTGAGCAGGTGAACTTCTTAGTTTTTTTTTTCGATATATCTCCAGAATCGCTGCGCCGATCGTCACCAATTTTTCAGTACCCTCCCGGACATAACGTTTACACATTGTGACCAATTTTTTTTTCTTCAAAAGGTTATGATAGGCTGACCGCTAATGACGTCGGAGTGACGTCATGTTCTGCCATTTTCGACCCAAAAAAGTTTCGCGAGAAGAGCTGTCAGGCCAACATCTTTGAAGATACAGAAAAAGTGTTCGGACATAAAAGGTGTAGAATTGATAGGGCTATAAGTCTGCTATCTCGGATTTTTGATTTTTTTTATTTAACTCAAAAATCAAAAGTATTTTTTTGATATAATAGCCAAAATTCCCAAAAGCTTTTCGAATTTCAAAAAACCGGTATATATGTGATAGTCCCTACCGCTTTCTATCCACATACCAAATTTGAGATCGATACAGTGGCGCGGGAACTACTTTCCGACTGGGGGGGGGGGGGCACACCATAATAGAGATCAACCTAGGGTACCCCCAAATCTAGTTTTCTCACCGGCTTTAGGCCACTTATTTTTCATCCCTCGGCTTTTTCAATAAAAAAAGAAAACATTTGCAAAAAAAGTGTGGTATTCCGTCTCAAAGCTGTGGGGGCACCGCCCCCACGGCCCCAGAGTTGGGGGGGGGGCAAGCTGCCCCCACTGCCCCCCCGGCTCCCGCGCCTATGGATCGATACCTCTTTTTTCGCCAAGTTATAGCGAAAAACTGTTCAAAATTGATGACTTCAAATTTCTAAACTCAATTTTTAGCAATTCTAGACCTCGTAACGCAAAACAAAGACCACCATTAGACTCCCCGTGACAAGCTGCATCGAAGTAATACCCATTTTATGCAAAACTATCAACTTTGAAATGTGACCTTTTTTACCTGGTCTTGACATGACCTCCACCAGAAAGTGACCTAAACCGTACCTGATGGTCTTATAACCAACACCATTCAGTTGGCCAAATAAAAAAATTGCCATAAAACAGGCATCGCACAACCCTAGTAAAGTTGGGTTCATGTGCTGACCTTTGGTGACCTGACCTGTGACCTGACCTGGTGTTATCAGTGACCTCTAATGGCAACTTGTGTACTAGGCAACTGACGCCCTATCGCTGATTTTCGACAAATTGCGTTTTACTCGATGTTATAACGCATTTCCTAGAAGACCCGTGAACGGTGAAACATTTTATTTTTGACCTGACCTGTGACGTCATGACTCCGAGGTCAATGAAATTGGATTTCCTTCAACTAATTTGACAGGACTATCGAACGCCGTTTGAATTTTACGGATCCGTCCAGTAGTTTCGGAGATAAGAGGGGGCAAAAAATGCCCCCCCCCCCCACCGCGCCGAAGGTGGTCCCCACCGCCTGCTGAGTTAATATAAATCATTTGTAACGTCAGTTATTGTCATAATTGAGTAGAAAAGGAGAGCGGAGGAAGGTCCCTGTATTAAATAATTTAGGTGTGAAGTGAATATATTGGACGATTAAAGTGACCATCCCATCTTAACATTAGTTTTGAGTTGAGATAGCCGAATTGCAAGGTTCCTGGCTTGCAATTACCGATTTGGGCACTCACAACATCGAACAATCCTTAAATTCGGAGATGTTAAATTTAACAGTCTGCAGTTTCCGGATTCTAAGGGGCTAATACATTTGAATGCCCCCTGAAGCTTTCTGACGTCAGCGCAGATCTAGCGATTGTTAAGTCGTATGCTAAAGCCCTGGTAAAAGAAAGACAGTTATTGCTGTGGCGGTATACACCTTGCACGCCACATCTGTCGCACGTAAAGATACCAAATTATTGCTTCCAAGTGACGTCATAGGAACAGCGGGAGCCGTAAAAAGTAAACAAAAATAAAACTAAAAACCGGTGAATATTTTTCGGGGAAATTTGGTAGCTATTCATTTTAGCTCTTTCTGAACAACGGGACAATTGTTTTACCCCAATTCATTAACTTTTTTGAATGTGGAAGCCGAAGGGTCTTATCAAGATGCCAAGACTAAAGGAAAACAAACAACATCCTACTAAAAACCGTGGCATTTCTTTCCTTTATATATAGACCGTTTGCAAACGGACGGAGTTTTCATACGGCCTGTAACATATACATAGCACAAGTGCTGGCTAAAGTCACTTCAGCAGTCCGGACACCGTCACCATTTTAGGGATCTTGTTAGCAAAGTTGCATGTTTGCTTGCTCTTAATTTTCGTGTACTTTGCCCTGTGCCTTGGTGGCGTTCCCGCAAAGTGATAAAATTCGACCGCACAGGCTACGTCAATACCCCGTTTCACACGAGTGGTCTCCATACGAAACTCACGATCCTGCCACGGTCATTATGGTTATGTAGTAAGTCAGAATGACGAGTGGAAGCGGAACTACTACCCACTTGCGTAATACTACTGTTGGGCATAAAAACCACGACGTATGGACATGTGTTCACTCACACAGTGCAGCGGGGCGAAAGCACCTGACCCCGGACCCGTGATCGGGGCTCGGGCAGCCCTGTTTGGCGCCCGTAAATACAGGATGGTGTGCGGCGGCGAGTTTTTGGAGTGGCCGCAGTCCTGTGACGGGTGCCGCCGGACAGGGCGCTAGGGAAAGTGCCGCCGGCCGCGCTGTGGGCTCCGGAGTCGGGGGTCCCGGCGCGGTGCCGGCCACGCCCGTGTCGGCCGGCGGCCGGCGGCGCCCTTCACCGCTGGTCGACGGCCCGCCCTGCCCCGCCCCGGGCCGGGCCGGCCGGGGCACGCCACTCACGGCGCCGCGGCGGTGCAACACGGCGTGGGGGGGGGGGGGCAATGAGGAACGAGCGTGAGGCCATTAGCCGACTCCAGTCAGGGCCGCACCTCCAGCGGCAGGTCACAGTGGCCAGATTATAATCAAGTTGTCATTCTTCATAAATTATCTTGGCCGTTGCTTCATAACGAAACGAACCGTGTTTCAATCAGTTTTGTTAACTCCGCCGTCCTTTCCGACTCTCGAAAAGAATAATCGCTGGCTTTCGACTCGAACAGCAGTTCACATAAGGACCTGAGGTTCCGATGTTTACGAATGAGGAAAGCTGTAATTAGATCCCGAGCGCCCTATGTGGATGCGTTCGACTTACACGAGTCCCTTATTTGAGCCCGTACAGCTGAGCCCACAGTTACAGCTAACCCCTATACCCGAGCCGACTGGTGTGCGCTGTGCAGTGTTGTGTGGTGGTCCCCCTCTGGCAGTGCCTGACGGTGTCGCGGTGCCGACAGATGCGTCCGCTGCTGCTGCTGCTGGCCTGCGTGGCCGCTGCCGCCGCCCAGGTGCAGTACGCCGAGCAGGCGCCGCCGGCGCGCGCCGTGGTGCGCCGCCGCCGCGTGCGGCCCCGACGGCCGCTGCCGGCCGCCGAACAGCAGGGCGAGCCACAGACGCTGGTGCCGTTCAACCAAGGCCCGCCGCCGAGTCGCCAGCCGTTCCGCCCGGAGCCGCAGCCGTTCCGCCCGGAGCCGCAGCCGTTCCGCCCGGAGCCGCAGTTCCGCCCTCAGTTCCAGCCGGACGAGTTCCGCTCGCCCCAGGAGCTGGCGCCCGTGCCGACCAAGTCTCAGGCGCGGCCGACGCCGAGCGCGCCCAGCCGCTCCGCCAGCCGCTTCAAGGCGCAGCAGGAGGCCGACTTCGCTGACTACTCGGTGAGTCTGACAGAGGGCCTGACAGTCGTCAGCGCCCTCAGGCACCGTCCCTTTAGCGATGTGTTTGTACGTTTGTCTGACCTGTCACGTCTGATGACCAATCCTGGGGCTCAGCGACGTCAGATTTACTGCTCCGGCGGACGAGGTAACCGAAGAGCAAACCAGCGATAGCAAAGCAGCTGTTGCCACCTATCACATTGGCCGGGGTATGCGGGAGCTGTGCTGTTTACGAGAGAAATGCATTGCATCATCAATGCATGCATCAAAGGTGGCTATCTGACATTTCTGTTCGATCGTCGCCCAATAGGGCACGTTCCCTAAGTACCCTCAAACTGAGCTTAATCTGCCCTTCTCCGGCCGTCGGGGCTTGTCCAGTGCCGTGCCGCCAGGCGGCCTGTCCGGTCCAATCTGCCTGCCTACTCTGTCCGGTCCGCTCGGCCCAGCTGTTCTGTCTGACCCCGCCAGACGGCCTGTCCGGTCCAATATGCCCTGTCTAGTGTCTTCTCTGTCCGGTCCAATCTGCCCTGTCTACTCTGTCCGGTCCAATCTGCCCTGTCTACTCTGTCCGGTCCGATCTGCCCTGTCTACTCTGTCCGGTCCAATCTGCCCTGTCTACTCTGTCCGCTCCGCCCGGCGCGGCGGCCCGGACGTGTCGGCAGTGCGTGATCGTACTGACCTTGGCGCCGACAGCACAGCGGCGAGCGAGATCTCACCGGGGAAAATTCGCACCCGCCGCCCCGCCGGTCTCGGCAGACACCTCTGAGCCGGGGCAGGGCTGCCGCGCTGGTCTCGGTGCCGTGCTCCGCGTCCCCAGTCGCCGGGCCCATCGGGCTGGGAAGTCACTGACGCAGACACCTGGGACGGTTGACCGGCCGCCCGGCGAGCGGAACAGATACCTGCTCTCCATCTGCACCGGAGCGCGGCCCCGTTTCGAGACGGCTTTCTCGATGGTGAGCTGCGAGCTGCGGCCGGCTCCGCCCCGGCTAATGTCGCCGGTCCACGGTCCATTAGCTGCGCGCCGCGGGGAGAGCTGGAGCGGCGCCGTTACGTTACCCGGTGGCCCACTGTCGGCCGAGGAGCGGCAGCGGGACTGGCGCCGTGCCGCCTGCACCCCACACCGGCCGCTGCGGGACCCGCCTCCCTGCGGTCCGACCTCACCTCTCCTGCGGGACTAATCCACCTCTACTGGGGGACCCTCCCGCAGCCAGACGAGCTCCGATGAGCCGCTGTCTTGGAGCGGCAGCCGTTCGGCGCCCACCGATCCGGCACATCATGCGGCGCGGGCGCGCCCCGAAGTGGGCCGCTGCGGCCGTCATTGACACCCGTTCGACCCCGCCGTGACGGCCCGCCCATCTGGAGCGCTGCTGGACGGCTCCGTGTGTGTCGGTACTCGGGGCTGCGGCCGCTCGGCTTTCACCGGCCGGCAACCAGGCGGCGAGTCAGCCCATCCCACCACTTAATCGTCGCAGAGCGGCGTTTTTGCCGCGGACACGGGACAACCACTGAGCTGTTGGCTGGTCCACGCGGAGCTGAGCTGACCACCCCCGGCCGAGCGCTCGTGCCGCTGGCGACAGGTAAACAGGACGTGAGTCAAGGCCGCTGCTGGGCGTGCCGACCAGATAGCGTGCTCGCCCGCCTGACCTGGGTTGCGCAGAGGTCAGGCGTGTCAGGGGTCACGACGCTTGCACAAGCCCCCCACCTGGCGGGAGAGCAATGGCGTTTATCGGCGGTAAACTAGAGCCGCTCTATACTTTCTTACACAGGCTGACATGACAGTTCACGTGAAAGCACGCGATGGACTCCTAAATGATTGGTTTTCTTACAGGTTGTTCCTATTTCCTTAAATCTGAACAGCTCGTGACAACAGTAGCAGCCTTTGCTTACGAACTGAACATGTTCTTCATTTGGTACTGGGTGAGTGGTAGTCGGGTAGCACTCAACATCGTGTTGTGGGTGCGCAACGGGAAAAAAATACAGCTCCTATTTGTTCGTGGCTTGGGGCGATTGTGTCCACTCAGGCCGTGTTCTCACCACCTCATCGTTACGTCAATGGTACTTTGGACAGCGCTCCCGCTAAGAAGACTCAAATGCTATGTTGTGATACGAACTAAAAACTACCTAAATGGCACTGGGCGTTAAGAAATGAACATGAAAATGTAAAATTCATTAAACATGCTTGAGCAGCTTGCATCAAGCACCTATACAATAGTCAAGCGATGTTATGCAGTCTCATAGACGAAGCTCCCAGTTCAATAAGGTTTGCATTTTGCATGCACCCATGGTTTCACGGGTGAGTTCACGGGAGTGGGGGGGGGGGGGTCTGTTTGCTGTCCCGCAGGACGTAACTCCCGGAGGCCAGGTAATGGGGCTGCAGTCTGTCAGGACGTAACCCCCGGAGCCCAGGTAATGGGGCTGCAGTCTGTCAGGACGTAACCCCCGGAGCCCAGGTAATGGGGCTGCAGTCTGTCAGGACGTAACCCCCGGAGCCCAGGTAATGGGGCTGCAGTCTGTCAGGACGTAACTCCCGGAGGCCAGGTAATGGGGCTGCAGTCTGTCAGGACGTAACCCCCGGAGCCCAGGTAATGGGGCTGCAGTCTGTCAGGACGTAACCCCCGGAGCCCAGGTAATGGGGCTGCAGTCTGTCAGGACGTAACCCCCGGAGCCCAGGTAATGGGGCTGCAGTCTGTCAGGACGTAACCCCCGGAGCCCAGGTAATGGGGCTGCAGTCTGTCAGGACGTAACCCCCGGGGCCCAGGTAATGGGACTGTAGTCTGTCAGACTCAGGACGTAACCTCCGGAGGCCAGGTAATGGGGCTGTAGTCTGTCAGGACGTAACCCCCGGAGTCCAGGTAATGGGGCTGTAGTCTGTCAGGACGTAACCCCCGGAGCCCAGGTAATGGGGCTGCAGTCTGTTTAGACGTAACCCCCGGAGCCCAGGTAATGGGGCTGCAGTCTGTCAGGACGTAACCCCCGGGGCCCAGGTAATGGGACTGTAGTCTGTCAGACTCAGGACGTAACCCCCGGAGGCCAGGTAATGGGGCTGTAGTCTGTCAGGACGTAACCCCCGGAAGCCAGGTAAGGGGGCTGTAGTCTGTAGTCTGTAGTCTGTACCGTTAGCCCGTCGGACCTGGATGGTCCCAGATAACGCCAATGAATCTACCGTTATCGGCCCCAAGGCCTCGAGCTCGTGGGGTGGCAAAGGGCTCTGCTCCACACATTGCAACGTGCAACGCACCTCTTGATAATGCACAGCGGGTCCAACTAAGACTGACCGGTTCAGAGGGGTGACAAACTGTAAAACTGCACAGATGCCGCTTAGGAACTTATACTCAGACAGTTGTTCAGTTCACCATCGACAAGACAGCTAATTGTATTAATCGAATGCAATTAGATCTGGGTATTTGTTGCGGTGGCAAGACCTCAATTGTCGGAATGGAAAGCAAGTGCCAGTGAAAGTGAAAGAAGTTTTATTAGTCTTTATTTTCGTTTTGGCGTCCTTCGAGCGGAACGGATTACTTATGCAGTGGACATCTTGCATTCACTCTCTCGACTCTCTCTCTCTCTCTCTCTCTCTCTCTCTCTCTCTCTCTCTCTCTCTCTCTCTCTCTCTCTCTCTCTCTCTCTCTCTCTCTCTTCCTCTCTCTTTCTATGCGTCACAGCAGTACCTAAGTCCGATACAGACGGAAAAGACCTACACACCATTAACAATGGTTGAATGTCGTAGGTATTGCTCCATTTGGTTTCGCAAGTACTCCATCCAATACGCTTCCGTGTACTCTGAGATGACATCGTCGTTTAGTATGCCTGCGAATGTCGGGAGTTGCCGGCGTAACATTTACAATGGTTTGTCGCATGGCCACGGTCTGGCAATGCGTGGATATCTCTTCCTTGTAGTTCGGGACAAAACTATCACAAGAGAAACGTGGTATCTCACATGATTAGCTAACCGTACCGATCTACACTAACGCTCCGTCTCTTGTGGCTGGCTAAGCGTATCGATGTGTACTAACCAGATGTCGACGGCCGTTCGGGTGCGTCACAGAGCTGCGCCGCGCCTGCCGTCGACCGGGACGGCTCTATGTGGCGCACACCCGCGGGGCGTTGACCGGCGCGCCGCCCGGTTCGTCTCCGACACGGTCCAGCGGTGCCGGATGGCCCTGCCCGTGGCCGAGCGCCGGCCGCGTCAGCTGCTCGCCCGGCCAGCGCCGCCACTGACCTGAAAACGGACGCTTTCATCGGCGCCACTTCGCGGTCGGGCGACGCCGAAACCGAGAGTGCCGGCGCGACGCGGCTCCTCTCCGGAAACTAGAGACTGGAGGTGCCTGCGGACCGCACTCACGGACAGACAAAAAACGCCCGCGGCCGGACCGACAGGAGGGCAGACATAAGTCCACGGAGGGAACGGCCGCGGAGAAGGGGGTCATGTATTGTTCAGCCGCACTCCCGGATGTGATGGGCCAAGGGGTCGCGCCGGCAGAAAGCAGTCCTGTTGTAAGCCGCCGTGGAAAGTGGAGTCAGCCATGCATGCATTTCTAGGAGACATTCATTACAAACCGGTTCGACCGCCAATCCTATCGTGCTTCGTGACCACAGTTTCTTCGAATCTGTGTATGGGCCCTTGCTTTTCTCGTCCTTTGAATGCAAGGTCCTGTCCTTATGTTCAGCTGATGCAGTTGTTTCTGGCATTTACAAAAATGACGACAAACAACAAAAGTAGCAGTGCATTATTCTAGCATAAAAATATTCAAACATTTTGAGTATTTTTATGCTAGAATGTGTCTGTCCCAGCTAAACAATAACATTTATAGCTACACTTACAGTGCATTAGCGACAGTGCACCCCACTGGATTACTGCTGCCAATGCTAGACCTGGTGTTTCGTGCCAGCACGTGTCACTGTGTCAGTGCGGCTGCTGCGAGTGCTGTAAGGTCGCGGACGCAGATGTTGCGCACCCGCCTGACCCCGTGCCCGTCCCGCTGCCGCAGGACGCCGCCGGGGTCCAGGAGGAGGAGGAGGAGGACTACGCTGAGGAGCCCGACCGGCTCGCCGAGCTGCTCGCCGTCTCAACGTTCAAGTGCGACCCCAGCGCCACCGGCTACTACGCCGACGACTCGGTCAACTGCGAGGTCTTCCACTACTGCGCAGCCGGCGTCAAACACTCGTGGGTCTGCCCGAACGGCAACAGCTTCCACCAGATCAACCTCATCTGTCAGCCGCAGAGTGCCGACAACATATGCCAGCGCTCTAACGAGTTCACCTTTGTCAACGACTACCTGTACCAGCAGATCAGCAACGACACGCGAAAGCCGCAGTACGCCGACCGCTACTACCCGGACGCGTCTGCGGCCGGCGAGCAGCTGCTGAGCCGTCCCGAGCCGCAGCCCTCCTACCAGCAGCGCCAGCCCGAACAGGATCGCCGCCGCAGGCCGCTGGCGCAGAGCGCAGACTTCGGCTCGTCCGGGAACGGCTTCGGCAGCAGCAGGCCTTCAGCCAGCAGCAGGCCGTCGAGCAGCAGCTTCCCAAACTTCCAGCAGGCGCAGGCGCTAGGCGGACGGTCCAAGCCCAGCGCGTACCGGCCGGAGCAGGCCGACTTCCGCGGCCAGCAGACCGGCTTCCGGCGCAGCGGCGACGAGCCGGTGCTGCCGCCGGTCGGGCCGAGCCCGTTCCTCGGCCAGGTAGGCGCCTCTGCCCTGCAGCCGGACATCAGGTCACGCGGCGCGCCGCTTCCGCAGGAGAGGCATGACGACCGCATCGTCCTCGGCGGCTTCCAGGGCAACGTGGACATCGAGGACCTGGCGTCGCGCCGTCAGTAGGTCGGGGAGGGAACAGCGGGGCCGCGCACACCAGGCGCCGGCCCACCGAGGCCAAAGACTGCTGCAGCGCCGTGCCGTGCTGCGCGCCAGCGAGAGCGGGTAGATGCCGGACGCCAGGAGAGACTCAGAATGTGCGCCACCGATGGCGCACTGAAATGCCCCCCTTTCCCCTAGCCGGGTCAGTCGTCGCCGCTGCCAGTCGCCCAGAGGTGCCACTGCCGCGGCCGGCGCTGTCACCGCCTTCGTCACGAGCAGCGTGATGCGCCGTCACGAGCCGGTCACGAGTGGACGGCGTCGGTGGCAGGGTCGCCGGCGGCACGACAGCGGAGCATACGTGACCGGTCCGGCCCCGCGGGCCGGCGGCCGAGTTCGGGCCAGCCCGCTCGCCGCTCCCCGCACGGCGACCGATGAGCCAACGCGGCCCCCGGTGTGACGGTCACACAGGCGCCACGGCGCCGGTCACGAGCTCACCGCTCACCGCTCCCGGCGCGTCGCTGCTGTCTCCTTTGTCGTGGTTTTGAGGTCAGGGAGGCGTCGCTTCGTTTCATCGTCACATTTCTCCGTATAGCGCAGCGGTGGGTGGGCCGCACTCACGGCCTGTCGCCGTCCGGATGGAACGCTTTTTGACAGTAGGAGTGGAGCGCAAGTGTTCTCAGTGTAGGTCCATTGATGGATTTTCAGGTGGGGTTCGGGTTGGCGTATTTTAGTGTTTTACATAAGAGGACGACGGATGTGTATTGTGTAACTGCTGAATACACAATTGTATAATACTACTGCATGTTTTCTCAAATGACATTTACATAAGAATGAGTTGACAAGATGTTCACTAAAAATTGAGACAAGTTTTAGCGTGCTGTACCTTCAATATGAATATACCGATTCAAACAAACGAGGTGTCATTCAACAGCGCATTGCCTAGGTACCTATCTGCCGCAAGCTGTAAGTACAGTCCACAGCAGAAGTAATCAATGTGGGGTTTCAGTCATGGGTATGTTCTGCTTCTGAAGCTTAGGAACGATTAGCCAGACTACAATGAAGCTTTGAATGTAGCTTATATTTAACGTAACCCTTGCAGCTGCAACTTTAGCTATTGACATCTTCTTTTCGATCACTCCGCATTAAACAATCGCCAGTCAAAGCCAACCTGGCCCAATCTTATAAAAGGAGTGATATTCTTTTCGAGGCATTGGGTAATATTTATAGTGATAACAGGCACTCAGCAGTGGATGTGTAAATATACAGTCCAAAACAAACGGAAGCATCAAGCACACCATTGATTCAAAATATAGTCTCCCATTCCAATAGTCACCCACTTCTATGGTCTATGGAGGGTGTAATTTCTTAGGGCGTAAAAGTCGCGCTGCTGCAAACGAAGACACTACCGAACTTTATGAAATCGGCCGCTGGGATCCCGTCAATATACGATGGACTTAAATGCGTGAATACAATTTTGCACGTAAAAGCCGTTTCCTTTAGCCATTGCCCAGTGACGTCATATCCGTTCCCCGGCGTTTTTAAGATTGGTCCCAGCACCCTACGAAGAAGGCTGTTTATAGAGCGTATTATCCTAGGGAGAGAGAGAGAGAGAGAGAGAGAGAGAGAGAGAGAGAGAGAGAGAGAGAGAGAGAGAGAGAGAGAGAGAGAGAGAGAGAGAGAGAGAGAGAAGAGAGAGAGAGAGAGAGAGAGAGAGAGAGAGAGAGAGAGAGAGAGAGAGAGAGAGAGAGAGAGAGAGAGAGAGAGAGAGAGAGAGAGAGAGAGAGAGAGAGGCTCCGGGAACGATCTCGAATTATCTCAAGCACAGGGCCGAAATCGTGATTTCTTGCACTTCTTACATAGTTTGATGTTTGGCAAATTTTGCATTGTTGACCTTGCGTAACGTCATTTATGACAATACTGAGGCCGTAAGTTTTTCGCCAATAGCTCCCGATCAAATTGAGCTAGCGAGTTGGGAAAACCACCATTCACCAATGCAGTGGAAGATCTGGCATCAAATGATATGCGATATCACCCCCTTTAACCAGCTTCGTGACCTGGGGCTCTGACCTGATCTTGATCTGAGGTCAACCTCAGTTGACCTCAACCGAACATGCCTACCATTCGACTCGCCTGAGCGAGGCGAACACGATAATGCCAAAACCGCGGCTCTACGGCCATTTTGCGGTTATTTATCAAAAACCGATTTCTTGCCTTGGGCCATATCCCTCGCCGGCACAGGGTTGATGCACCCCCCCCCCCAAGGTTTTTCGCGAATTACTCGCGTAAAAAGCGGCCGATCGCGACGAAACTTTCAGTACCCTCGCATTGATCAATTTTACACCTACCCTTAAAACTTCATGACCCTGACCCAAATGACCTTTGACCTGTGACCTCTTTTCCGAAACCATGTTTGGCCGGAATCGCGATTCGGCGTATGTCGGCTCGCATTAACCTCGCGTTTGCAAGCTTTTCGTGGTTTCAAACGTTCAAACATGTGATTTGATGTTGCTCCCATACATGAGGGTGGGTGTCAAGGTCACCTGAAGGTCAGGTCAGGTCATTGAACTTTGGTGACCTCGGGTGACCTCGGTTCACTTTTTCGAGTTTTACATGTTTCTACATGGCTAGTTACATGTAGTTACATGTCACATGTTGTAGGCTAGTTTTTGGAGCTGAATTCGAATTTAGCAACCATTTGAACATTTACTAAGTAGTTTTGGTGCCTTCGTAACATGTTACGAAGCTGTCAGAGGCGGTTGTCACATATTTCGAATACCCGTCACAACCCCTACCGGTTGACCTGACCTGACCTGACCCGACCTGGTCTAAATGCTTAAAGACATCATCTCTGATCAAAACTAACACGATATTCGTGATCAGCACCCTGGAAAACCACATAGCAGCCACACTTTACGACTTTCTAACAGGTCCCGATTTTCCCGGTTTTCGGGTCATTGACCTGACCAGTGACCTGGAAGGTCACCCGATGATAGGACCTTAAAATTGGGTATCAACGGCTTCCCCTCGTGACGGGCAACACGCTCGTTTTTTCCGCGAAGCTCTAGCTCGATCAGGGGCCAAACGCGAGGGGGGGGGGTCGTACCAGCTTGTGCCGTCGAAGGACGCAAAATGGCCTGTGCCGGCGCGGCGAGGGATATGACCTGACCCTGACCTGGTTAACGCGTTATAAGTTTCCTCGGCGAACACTGTTGTTTATTAGGCGTTTACCAAAGATCAACTATCCAAAGTTCTCACTTCATGAAAATAATGTAAAATTTACTTTTTATTTCAATTTTGTTTTTCTTTCTGATCATTTAAAGGAAAACTATGACAGAACATTAACCCTCGCATGTGTGCGGCGTTTGCCAGCTTCTAACGTGTAGGGGAGGGGGGTCGGTTGGACCCCCCCCCTTGCCGCTTGGCACCTGATCGAGCTAGAGCTTCGCGGAAAAAAACGAGGGTGTTGCCCGTCACGATGCGAAGCCGATGATATTAATGTCCTAGGTCATTGGTTGACCTTCCAGGTCAGGTCAATGACCCAAAAATCGGGGATTGAAATCGGGACCTGTTAGTAAGTCGTTAAGTGTGGCTGCTATGTTTTTTTTCGGGGTGCTGATTACGAATATCGTGATTCGTGTTAGTTTTGATCACAGATGATGTCTTTAAGCATTTAGACCAGGTCGGGTCAGGTCAGGTCAACCAGTAGGGATCGTGACGGGTATTCGTAGAAGGTGTCAAGTGTCAACCGCCTCTGACAGCTTCGTAACATGTTACGAAGGCACCAAAACTACTTCATAAACGTTCACATGGTTTCTAAATTCGAATCCAGCTCTAAAAACTAGCCTAGAAACATGTAAAACTCGAAAAAGCGAACCGAGGTCACCAAAGGTCAATGACCTGACCTGACCTTCAGGTGACCTTGACATCCACCCTAATGCATGGAAGCAGCATCAAATCACATGTTTGAACGTTTGAAACCACGAAAAGCTTGCAAACGCGCGGCTAATGCGAGCCGACATACTCCGAATCGCGATTCCGGCCAAACGTGGTCTCGGAAAAGAGGTCACAGGTCAAAGGTCATTTGGTTCAGGCTCATGAAATTTTCAGAATACGTGTAAAATTGATTAATGAGAGAGTACTGAAAGTTTCGTCGCGATCGGCCGCTTTTACGCGAGTTATTCGCGAAAAACCTTAGCGGGGTGGCATCACCCCCCCCCCCCCCCCTGCGCCGGCGAGGATATATAAATAAAAATAGCTTACAAAAGACTGATAGATTTAAACTATCTTTTTAATTTTTAAAATATTTTAGAGGGATATGGCTAAATTTTAAAATTACATTCATTGGAACAGTTTAGTACAGCATTTGAGTGCAACATATTGCACATGTCACTTGAAGAGCATTGGATCAAACTGAATACAATCTGCATGTAACCACTGGGATTCTCACCTGCTTCACTGCATCGCTGAGGTGGCTCGGGGTCACTGCGGTGTCGGCGGCTGAGGTGACTGTCTCTGTTGGTGGCCTGGACAGCTTCTCCTTAAAGATGCTGGTGTCTGGGTGCCTGATGCCATCAATTCATCGTCGTCATCGTGGCTGATCGGCATTGCAGCTGACTCTGGGACAGCAAACTGCTCGCTGGGGACTGTCTCTCCCCGGGCGATGTGTTGCGCCAGGAAACTCCAGGTCTCCATTATCTGGTCGTCACGGACACTTCTCTGCGGCTGGCCAGCACCACTCTTCCTCTCCTTCTTCATAATCTTCCCCACCCTGGTTCTCATGTTCTCGTAGTGCTTCTTGCACTGGGGACCAGTGGTAGGAGGTTGCAGCTCTAGTCTCCAACTCGGTCCCAACTAGTGGTGTCAATCGGTTACCGAAAATTTCGGTTACCGAAAATATATGCTGACCGATTTGGTAATCGGTCGGTCAGGCCCCCCAAAAATCGGACACTTTCGGTCACCCTGCCAGTGAAACCATTTTCAAAAAGATAAAGTATTCCATTTTTGTCTAGTTAAAATGAAATTTATTGGGATGTTAATGATAGAGTTGCAACATTTCCCCCAAATGCCAAATGCCACATTTTGGCAACTTCATTAGCCATCCCACCCATCAGGCAGCAGCCACCCATTGTCCAACCACAACTACAAGCAGGCTGATTTTGACTCAGTTGGCCCCACAAGTACACACAATTTTGAAACTCTATTCCAGTCTAACTATTAAAATTTCACCTGTAATCAAAGAAGTATTGCCTACAAAAATCATTATACAGTCATCAAAAATGCAAGGACAAAAATAACTTGAATTGCTGAAATGTACGTTTCTGAAGACTGGACAGTTAGCACTTAGCACTCAGCAGTCATCACATTTACATTTCACAGGTGTTCTACTATTCCACATTCTCCTTAAATATTGCAGGTACCAACCAAATGTTTGAAATCTAGATGACCACAACATAAAAACATAGGAATCTTGACAAAAACTACAGATTCGGCCCACGTCCGATTTTTGGAATCTTCCACATTCCAAACACATGGAAAGATTTCGAAACAGATGCGCCATTACAGAGACTTTAAACCAGCTGATTAAGTTGCTGCAAAAAAAGTTTTGGATTGTTACATGCTGCCTCCCCAGTAAACATGCCGACGTCGGCCCGACGTCGGGCCGAGGCTCGGCCCGACGTCGGCCCAGCGTCGGTTCAACCTCGGCCCGACATCGGCTGGACGTCGGATATGCCCGCATGTTCCGACGTCCAGCCGAAGTCCAGCCGACGTCGAGCCGACATCGGGCCGAGATCGTTTG